TTAACAGTATGTGAATCAAGAGGATTTCTTAAACATTACCGATGGAAGTGAATACTAGCATAATCATTTTGAAAAAAAGTTTGGCATTATCTATTAGAATTTAATATTCACACATTATATGGCCCAGTAATTCCACTCCCATTTCCACTCCAAGAGTTTGTCCCAAGACAAACTCTTGGATATGTATGCAAGGAGAAATTTATAATAATACCTGTTGACAGAACATTGTAATACTGTTCTGACACACAACAAAGTACAGCTACATAAACTGATATAGAATTCGCTTCGTACAGTATAATAATAAAGGAAAAAAAGGCCAAAGTAGATCTATTCAGCATGATTTTTATAAAGTGAAAAGCAATAAAATGATAAGACTTTGCAGGAACTTGTATAAGTGATTAAACTACACATGAAATAAAAAGGAGAAGAGGTAAGTAACCTCAGGTGAGGGGAGGCCAAAGGTAGGCATGAAGATAAGCACGTAAGAACATTATAAATTGTTTAGTTTTTGTATTGCATCATGTTTTCATAGGTGTAATTTTATTATTGAATAAAAAATACACACATAATAGGCATGGAAAATGATGAGAGTATGATAAGAACTATGATCAATTCAATACTGTGGGCCTGAGGTAAACAGCATTTCTTTTACAAAGGGCATTTTATTGTTTAGGGACTATACAGTAGAAAAGTAGTTTATATATATAAATTTGAAATATTGGAAGAATATTTAACATGTTATTAAAGGTCAATAATTATTTAATTAATAAATAAATAGAAAAATGAATCAATCTTTAAAAAGTAGAGATACTAATACCAGTCTTGACAAAATTACAAAGCTTTTTTCATCAAATAATATGGTTATCTAAGTATAAGAGCAGATAAACCAGTCAGAAAGAAGGTGGTTAACCATCTGTGAAAGAATAGATGTTCCAAGCATAAAGAAAAGATAAATCATGAGCATCAGGAGGAAATATTTTTTGATCAGGAAACTCAAAGCGTATGTAACCTATAATAAATTACTCTTACCTGAGTATACCTCGGCTGCAGTGAATCCTGAGGTTTAGTTTTGACTATAGAACTCTAAAATGTGTTTGAAAGCCCATTTTACCAGACACGATCTAGGGCTCTTGAATATACAAGCTAGTACGAAGTTTCTAATTCAAAACAAGATGGCTTCTGAGAAACTAACATCTGGGAATCTCTGTATGAACTAAAGTGAACTAAAATCTGTGGTGAAGACTGGGGGGAAGGACTATGCATCAGGTTACTTAAGAAAAAAGTTTTTAGTGTTCCAAGTGAGCAGGACCTTGGAGCCTGAGACTCTGGCTACACATTTTCAGAGTTAGATGATTCCCTCCATTTCCAACATCTCCATAGGAAGCTATTTCTGCTCAGTGTCATCTGCCTTAGACTGAAAGAAAAGCCATGAATTTTGAAATGCATGATGTTCCACTTAACCATCACTGGCAAAAGACTTCCTTTCGCAATGTCAGGGTATATCATATTAGATTCCTTAACAGAAATGTTGTCTCTAAACTACTCATTTTTGCTATTTATTTATTTAATTTTATTTTATTTATTTATTTATTATTTTTATTTTGTCAATATACAATGTAGTTGATTATTA